AATAAAATATTAGATACTAGATACTATGAATATATAGTCAGAGGAGATACTCATGATGAAGTAGTGTCATTTTTAGACCAAGAATTTCATATTGAATATATAGATGATATTATAGAAGATAAAATACATCATAACAAAATATTTAAAATACCAAAACAATCTAACTTATAAGACACTTTTTTTTATGAACACACAAACAACAAAAAACATAGGAACTAGTAACCCACAACATACGGTAGAAGATCTAGTAGAACCAATGCATTATGCAATAGGAGGAAGAAGACCATTAACCAATACAGGACGTAGTAAAGCAAATCCAAATAAAAGTTATAGATTTTGTAAAAAGCGTAGACAACCAGATATAAGTATACAATTACAGCTAACAAATAACCAAGGAACCCTTTTAGACCTAGCTAGATTCGATCCTCAAATATGACAAGAAAATAGAAAAATGGGAAAAGGATGTGGTGAAGGCATGGATGAATAATCCCTTTGAATCAATCGACATGTGGGAATATATGGAAACACTTTTAGGAGATTCAGCTTTTAATATATATTTAACTTTTAAAGGAAAATATGAGTAGACCAATAGACAGCTTAAAGGATTAGGAGATAATTCATGGAATTTTACTAGTTTTATAAAAAAAAATGCTTATAGGATATGACCTTTCTAGAAGAAATGATTATACTTAAAGTGTCACGCCCCACTTTTTATTACTCGAAGTCATTACCAAATTCATTTACTTAATTCAAGTTCAGAGATAACATGTGGAAATAAACTTTTTAGTCCAATGAGTAGAAATAAATAACAATTCTCTCATCCGAATGCGAATTAAATACAACATGAATATACTGAATAAAATGCCCGAAGGCTTACATCATTAAGGAATCAAGAAGAAGGGTGAAACCCTTTTTACAATAATAATATTCCGCCAACATGAAAGAGGCCCCGTGGCCAACAAATAAGAAGATCCAAAATCCTGTAGCACATCCTGCTTATTACTTGAAAAAGATTCAACAACGTGGGATAAACATATAGTCCAGTAGGGATCTCAACATGATCCTTAACAATAACAACTTATGGATAGCTATGATCATGAATGCTCAATCTCGTACTAGAATACTAATGTGGCAGTTTATACAAAAATATACATAAGTATGAACTTTTCTAAAAAACAACCATTTCATTCAACGCTATAAGCGATTCATCTTTCTTTTCTTGTCATTATCCCTGGTTCCCAAACTTTCATGACAATAACAACTTCTTAGAAAAATAATTTCTCTAAGCCCATTACTTTTCTCCCATTTTCCATACTTACAACAGATGTGCCCTTTTCAAAACGTATATTCAAAATACTCGATTTCCTTCACACTTTCTAAAATCTTGAAATGGCATTTTGGTTTCTTCCCAATACATTCATATCTATACATGCATGCCTTTAATAGAAAGGGAGATAACAAATCATCAACATGTATATAATCAACAAATAAGGCAACTCGGCCCTCCAAAACTGTAACCTTCACAATCCATGATATACTCAAATACACTGAGACAAAAACAGTAAAACTGTGCTCTACCGGCTATATGCACAGTAAGCCAAGGATACAACTCTCACAACGGTATGCCATTTTACCAGGCGCTAGCTGGAAGGGTGTGGTACCTTAGATTCTCAGCGCAGTTAGTTCTCCAGACGCTAGCTGGAAGGTAATAGTACCTCTGATTATAAGCGCATGGTATAACACCAATAATCACAATACAACAGAGTACAACCAACAAGTGTAATACATACACATAAACTATTCAAGATATATAAGCAATGCGTTAAAGCATATGAACACATAGGTGTGTAGAGTACATCCCATATCTTCTCCCATACACTGGAGTACATCACCTATCTCCTCCCTGACAATTATACATATATAATGTATCATAGCACTTCATTACATACAACGGTCAATCAACACAAGTGTAATGCATACACGACAATTCAACACAACCATGTCATCTTCCACTGATGACCAAAGACAAAACCTCTAGATGTATGATTTTAATACACCTATTATAAAGACTCACTTTCACAAGATCTTAAACCCAACAACGATACTAGCACGATAGGTAAGGGTAAAACCCCCAAATGTGTGTATTCAACACTCATGATGCAATAATTCAATTCTCATATTTATTTTTCTAAAACTCACATAGAGTCAACATTTCATTTCCCATTTCCAAGATCAACTTCCTGGATTTTCCAATTCCAAAACCCCTTTTTCATTTCACAAAAACCAATTCCATTCATTATAAAGCCATGACCTGACTCAATTCAATACATTCATTTCAAAACAACTCCAAAGCCATAGTTAATCCCTTAGGCATTAACACCTTCACCCAACTTATATTAACAATAGAGACTTACAAACATTGATCAACTACCCTCCATTTTAATTTACCAAATCAAAACATAATTTAGGGCTTTTTTTTTCTTTCCACAATAGCATGCTAATTTAAACTCCAATTAGCCCAAAGTACTATCAATGATAAAATAATCATTCTCAAACAACCAACCCTAGGTTCCTTCACATGGTTTTGAAAGAAATTCAACATGATAAGATTTTCATGCAATACAAAACTACCACATGTCTATCTATAGACGAAGTATTGAAAAAGAACAAGGAGAATCTTTACCTCAAATGGAGAATCCAAGGGGAAGAAGAGCCAAAATTCGGAAGTACTCAAATCCCAAAGTTTTTTCAGATCAAAACGAAGCCCACGCAACTCTCTAACTTTCTTACAAAGAGATGAGGGTAGGAACACCCAAGAACTAGGTCAATCCCTAGAGAGAAGTTGAATTTTAGAGAGAGAGGCTCTCAAAAATAGGGTTTTGAAAAGTAAGAGAGAGAGAGTGTGTAAAAAGTGATTTAAAATATCACAGTCTAGATTTGATATACGTATGACCCGTTCGAGCGGAGAATAGGACGCTCGAGCGTCAAACACAAAAACTGAACCCGCTCGAGCTCAAAAAGACTTGCTCGAGCACCAAGACACAAAAATAAAACACACCTGCTCGAGCGCAAAAGAAGACCTGCTTGAGCATAGATTACACTCATCCAGCATTTTTACAGAGTTCAAACACCCGCTCGAGCGCCAAGATACCCGCTCGAGCACTACCCGCTCGAGCGTGAAAAACACATCTGCAGTAGTTTTACAGACGCACAAGATACTGAAAGTATGCGGACTCCGCTCGAGCACAAAGGGACCCACTCGGGCGGATCACCTAAAGCCTGGGCAACAACACTTGAGACCAAAGCTCAACCAACCTGTTCAAGACACGCCCAAAACATTTCTAAACTCAATTACCAAGAGTTAAAGAATGGAAATGCAACACAGACAACAACCATCAACCACGGAACTGAGTCCGAGATACTATTAAACAGTAAAAGGGAAAACCGGGATCGCTATATAAAGTATAACATTAACCGAGTTAGATTAGATAATGTTAGGAAGTTGGAAATGTGTTGTATCTTTTAGCAAAGAATATTTAGCCATAGCAGTTAGAATTGGAAAAAGTTTTGACGAAGAAATAGGAAATAAATACTTTAGGAAATTACCTGGAGAATTAGGAAGAGAGATAGAAAATATAAAGTCGATTTATTATGCAAACTTACCAGAAAAAATAGCATCAGGAGAAGTAAGCATAAGGGGAGCTTTAGGAATAGGACCTATAATAGTTTTTACATTCCATAGACTTAGAGAAAAATGTGCAACATAATGTATACTCCTCAGCAATATAACGATAAATATAATAGGAAAAAATATAAAAAATATGGAAAATATAAAAAGGAAAAATATTGGAAGAAAAATTATAAAAAACCATGAAAAAAACAAAAATTAATTAGAAAGAGTAGAACTTTTAATAGGATAAATTATAAGCGACTACCTAAAGAAGATAAAAGAAAACAGAGATATGTTAGAAAGCCTAATAATAAAAAATGCAATTGTTTCATATGTGGAGAACCTAATCATTTTGCAAAAACCTGCCCAAAAAGACAAATGCCTAATACTAATAAACAGATAGAAAGACTACATATTATAAAAGATTTAGAAGAAAATATAGTTAGCATAAACAATAATGATTGAAAAGTCTACAACATAATTAGTGATTATGAATATCAAATAGAAGCCATAAGTTCAGATAGTAATTCAGAAAGTGATACAGACGTAGATAATCTTTTAGGACAACTTAACCACGAAATCGGAATACCCCATTCCCATGACAATTTCTTTATGATGGAATGCAATACAAATACTGAATGTCAGCTTAATTTTCAAATAGGACTAGGATTTGATACCATTAGATGCAATTATTGTAATTGGTTTCCGGCTAAAAATAAGAAAGCTCAGTGTTTATTATGCAGTAGAACCTATTGTATAGTTTGTCTAGAAAAATTAAACATGACACACAAGATAATATTAGGAAATAACAACAAGATGCCAGAAGATCATAGTATCAAAAGCAGAGAATTACATCTAACAATTAGAGAATTAGAAATACCAGTAAGAGAACTTAAGTTACAAATACGAGAGGTAGAAGCTAAGGCTAATTTTGACATAGAAAGTTTAGAAGTAGAAAATAAACAGCTTAAACAACAGTTAGAACAATTTCATACTAAATACTTCTTAAAAGATAAATTGGTTGAAACACCTTTATATATTATTTAATATATAAATAATATATTTAATAATATATTTATTATATAATTTAAATAAAGATAAACGAGCCGAGCTTGACGAGCCGAACTTATGCGAGCTCGATCTTGACTCGTTTAAACGAGCCTAATATTCGACCTCAAGCTCGATTTATTTATTAAACGAGTCGAGCCGAACTTGTTAATGAACAATTCGGTTTATTTGCAGTCCTACCAATGGGCCACTTTCACAGGCCCAACTCAACCCATACCAAATTGGGCTTGACCCATGACTAAAACAAGACCCAAGAACCAGACCAAAAGCGCACCTATCCAGAAACCCGTTTTCACTTCATCGTCTCCCTCTCTATCTCACTCTCTTTCTTCAATCCGAATTTAGGGTTTTACCGATCAATCCCCAAATCACCATTGTTATGGATTGTTTTCACAGGCACCAATTTCAAGTACAAGAATAGTATTCGTTGACAAAACATGGACAGTGATGAAGAAGATTACGTGTTCTTCGGAACGCCGATTGAGCGAGAAGAAGAGATCACCAGCCGCAAGAAGAAATCAGTCGCTGAGGCTTCTGGTAATCTGCGAACCCTTGTCCCATGGAAGCAAGAGGTAATTTATCCATTTTCAGAGCAATATTATATATTAAAACTTTTCAATTGAGCAAGGTTGTTTTGTTTTCTCAGATTTTGGATATTGAGAAATAATTCAAAACCCTGATTTTCCATTAGTTTGATACATGTTATGAACTGGGAAGACTTGATTGGTTTTTTCATTAATGTCTTCATTTCATAGTTTGCTGAATCTCAGAGAAAATGTGTTGGGGAGTGTTTGGGCATTTATGGGATTTTGGCATGTTTATACATATAACTTCTTCTTAAAATTTGAAGGAGCTATTCAATTTTTGTGTGATGCCAAACATGCCCGTTAAATGGGATACAAATAATTGGATTTTTATTGTAAATTTGAAGGGGAAGTTGGGAAGTACCAGGTTGCTATGTTATATATGCCCAAACTAATGTCTGAGAAATAAAATTTGGTCTTGTGTTTCATAGTTTATACAATAAGAAGGGGAAAACAACAACAACAACAACAACAAACAAAATATAAAGCTATAATTAAAAATGAACTAGTTCCAACAAAGTATTACTTAACTATTATTGCATCTTTAGCTACAAAGTTACTGATTAAGCTTATTAGATCCTTTTTAATGGATAACATAACTAATCCATTCAATCTTGTGACATGGTCGATCAAAGGTAGAATTTGATCAACTTCAGCTTGGAAAAATTATTTTCTTCATGGGTAACTGTAACTGTTATAGTCAACAATATTATATAAATTATCCAAGCATTTGGGAAACCATTCATCCATTAATTTTAAATAATTCACTACTTTGATTGGTTTTTTGGTGTCTACTATCGAGGCCTGATTTTTGAGGGCCCAAAGTGGAGGCTTTGCTTGCCTTTCCTCAAGGTTGGCTCGCACGCACACGCATAACCACATGTGAAGCCTCATTTGTCTTCAACCTCCATTTGAATGCATAAGCATCAAACTAGAGAGCATTACTGCAACTAATCTATGCATAACCCTGCTCCCCTCTCTCCCCATAGGATGTCAAAATGCACCAGCCAAGAAATGACACTCCACAATCAATGCAGACAAAACTTTTGCCTTTAAGCTTTAGGCATATTAAAAATACTTATTTTTCAGGTCAGAGATGAAGAAGGGAGAAGAAGATTCCATGGAGCATTTACTGGAGGTTTTTCTGCTGGTTACTACAATACTGTGGGTTCCAAAGAGGGTATGACTTTAGCTCATGTTGGATTAAGGTTACCATGCTTGATTTTAAATTTTTTGGGAGTGGTGTTTTGTTAACCATCCAAAAAAATGTGTGCAGGATGGACTCCACAGACATTTACATCATCTCGGAAGAATAGAGCTGAAATCAAACAACAAAGCATTCTTAACTTCTTGGATGACGATGAGAAAGTGGTATGTTCTCTTGTATTGTTCTGCCTCTCTTGATATATTTTTTTGGTTATTATCTTCACAACTACAATTCTTCTGCTTTGCCTTTTATTTACTTCCAAGTGTTGTCACCTGGATGTTGACACTTGAATTATTGTTTTCCCTTCATTACAACATATAATGAATTGCAACACGTGGAAACAACTATTAAAATATGAATATCCCTACAATTTAAGCTTTACGTATATTATTTTAGCAATAGGGATATTCATATTTCAATAGTTGGGTGACGGTTATGGTTGATCCAGATCTTAGTTGCAGGAATCGTGCTAGCAAGTAACGAATCTTTGTAAGAAACGCGATTCCGCGTTTCTTAGAAAGAAACGTGTAGGAATCTCGTTTCTGTAGAGAGAGAAACGCGATCCTGTCCAAGATGGGATCGTTGGTGAAGAAGAACAAAAGCCCTAGCTTGTTGGTCAACAAAGAGAGAGGAGAAAGAAGGTGAAGAAGAATCTGATTGTGTCTGGGTATGTCCTTTGCTTCGTTTTTCTTCTTCTTTCATCACTTCGAAGGTCGTCTCTCTCTCTCTCTGTTTTTCGTCTCTATCGCAGTTCGTCTCTCTCTCTCTCTCTGTGTGTTTTTCGTCTGTCGAGTTCGTCTCTTTCTCTGTGTGGCAGATCGTCTTTCTCTCTCTCTCGCAGATCGTCTCTCTCTCTCGCAGATCCTCTCGTTGCTGATCGTCATCGTCTCTGCCTTCGTCTTCTCTGCCTTCTCTCACTCGCGCTCTCTCTCTCTCTCTGGCCTTCTCATCCAGTCGATCCAATTGAAGCTCCATCCGATCAATCTAGTCGAAGATTGAAACTCCATCAGTCGATTGAACAGTCGAACACCCCAGACAACTCTCTCTCTCTCTCTCTCTCTCCTTCGCGATCGCGATCGATCGCTTCGCTTTTCTCCCTCTCTCTTTGTCGTTTTATTCTTGACTTAATTGATGTCTCTGTCCTTTGATTCAAATCTATATCTATTCGTATCTATCTCTATATAATAATAATAATAGTTAATAACTATTATTATTATATAACATATAATATATTTATAAGATAATATATACTTATATATATTAATAAAAATAATTAAACACATATATGTAAAATAAAAAAAAAAAAAATTATCAATAACACATTATTTAAAAAATATAATAAATAAATAAAATAATTAATGTGTATTAAAATAAAAATATTTATAAAAAAACTTCTAATGTGTATTAAAAAAAATATATATATATATTACCGCTTCCCGAGGCGCTCCCAACCTAAGAAACTTCTATCGGCTCACGCTTCCTCGCTCCCGCCCCCGCCTCTGCTTCGTGCAACTAAGATCCAGATGTGTTGGCTTTTATTAATTTTGTAGAGGATTTGATTAATTAGTCCTTGGCTGTTAGAGGCTTGCTTTTTGTGTTCTTTGTATCGTCTTGATGCTTCTCTAATAAAATTCATTTATTTATCCAAAAAAAAAAAAAAAAATCCCATTGCTTTTGATAAGGCATATTGGACCACAGCATTTGCATTTTTTTTTTTGTTGGCCATTTAGATGTTTTGTTTTTCAATACATGGCCTTTGGAGCATTTGTACGCTAAGTTTTTCAGGGAAAAAGATTAGGTAAAAAATGCACTCACTACAAGGGGATTATTATCATGTTGACTGTTTTGGTGGCTGGACTTGACCTTGTTTCGACTTCTTTCTTTCCTTTTTGCTTGCTGTCGATTACCGCTTCTTGTGCTGCTGTTCTTTTCCTCCCTTCGAAATAAGTTTCCACTTCTTATCCAAAAAAAAAAAGAAGGAGAAGCAAAAGCTCTCTTGTCAGACATTTGACATGGTCATCTCTTGACTTTTACAACAGATACAGTAATTTGCAATGTGGAATTTACGTTGTTTAATACGTTAATCTAATGATGAGATATTCATTCAAGTTTTGGTAATTTTCTATCTTTTTCTTACATTTTTAGGATTTGGAAGGCCAATCATTGGGAACATCTATGCAGTTTGATACATTTGGATTTACAGCGGCTGAACTTGCTCGCAAACAAGCTGAGAAGGAACAACGGCAGAGGTTTTCTATAGTGCTTATCATTCATCTTATTGATCTATGATAATTAAGAAGTACAGAAGTTGGATTTTTTCTTATCAATTATTCATTTTCAATCACATTGCCAGTAAGTCCTGGGTTTAACTGTTTTATGTTTTTGTACAACTGGTTAATGTGGTAGTTATTAAAGTTTGCACCTGTTAGTGGATTGTGGGTTCTCTAAGTTGATTCCTTTTTCCCTTCTCTTCCCCCGACATTTTAATGGAATTTAGGTTTGTTAAGTTTCTTTTTTCTTTTTTGTATTTATTTATGTTATTTGTATACACCAGTCATTTTATGCCATGAGTAATGCTCTAGTTTTCTTTGCACGTCTCTGTCTGTTATTTGCTTACAGATGTTATCATTTATTTTTGTATTTACTTTTGGATAGGAGAAAACACCATCTTTCTTGCATCTACTTGCCTTGAATGAGTTGTTTCATGTTTCATGTTTCATGTTTATTGTTTATTTGTCTGCCCTTACTTGATTTTAGTAAATGGTTGTACATATTTATCTTGCTCATGAATGTTTTGGGCCAATTGTAGGGCCTTGTTTCCTTTGGTCTCTATATAATTTAGTTATTGAGTTTTGAGTTTGCTTTTTCATTTTGTTTTCACTCATTGGCAGTCATGAAATTTATAATGAATTATTTTACTCCTGTCTCACGCATTGCAGGCCTTCAATTATTCCTGGACCAGCTCCTGATGAAATAGTTCTTCCAGCAACAGATTCCATTGGTGAGTTCAGTCAGCACTGTAGAACTATGCTTGCATTTAAACCAGTTATTGCATCTCTCAGTGCCTTCGTTTCCTTGTTGATCAGGTGTAAAGTTGCTGCTGAAGATGGGATGGCGACATGGTCATGCAATAAAGGATTTGCGGACTAATTCATTGTATGGTATGTTTTGTCCTACCAAATGATCTTATCCTACCATTAATCATGTGCAATCTATGATGGATCCCCTTCACCTCGGCCATCTTCCAATCTTTTAACCCTCTATGTAACACAATATTCTAAAACAATTATTGTCCCTCCCTATGCAAATATTTATGAATTGTGTCCCTATTAGCTGCAACTAGGTAATATTATACTTAACTAGGTAACATGAATTGTTCATTTGCTTAGGTAATAGTAAACTATACTTCGCAAGTACTAATTCGTTTGCTTAGGGTAACATACACCACCATTTTACTTCTCTTCATTGTACTTATTCAATAGTTTTTCAAATTTTTTTTGGTTCTTTTATTTTACTTCTCTTCGATGAGCATGCCTTTCTTCAATTAGCTGGGTTCCATTTTGACAAATTTTTTTTTCCTCATTGTGGTTGTTTTAATACAGATGCTCGTAGAGAAGCTAGAAAAGCTTTTCTGGCATTTTCATCTGATGATGCAGCGGCACAGCTTGCTGGCTCTGGGCCTGTTAAGGGTGACCTTGAAAATATTATGGAGTTACCTGCTGATAATGATGATCAGTTTCCACAGAGCACACCGGTAGGCAGACTTTCTTGTCAATCATATGATCTGAGTCAGTAATATTTAGATTGCATGTCTTTATGATTGTTGTCACTTCATTTGGTGCTACTATTTAGAACTTTATTATTTCTAAAATGCTTTCAAAATTCTCTCATATTTTATTATATTCTAAACTTCATAGGACTCTGATTTGTGGTTTATCCTAATTTTTCGATCTCTTGAGACTTAAATTTTGTAAGCAATCATCTCAATGTTAAGAGATTGATAAACCTGCTTCCTTCCTCCTCTCCGTGATGATGTGTATATTTATGAGATGACATATGTTGGAGTGTAAACAGAAATTGTATTTTCTCTTGACAAGTGTCATAGTATTTACAATATCTTGGTCTTTCTTTACAATACAAGTGGCTACTCTTTTGTGTTCCCTACGATGCTTTTCCTCAAGTGTAAATTGAAGGAAAAATCAAAAGAGTGCACCAATGCCATAGACAAAATCTTCAACTCTTTGGTCAGAGTGTAAGCCATCCTCTTGAACAATGTCAAGTACATCAATCATAGAAGAAAACATCAAAATCCAGTTCACAATGGTCCCATAGTCCTAATAATTAGAGCATTTAGTTTTGATTAAATCAAAATTTTCCCAAAATAAAAATCTTAAACCCTGTATTATACAAATTGAATGGTAAATCAAAAAGAACAAGCATCATACATGTGGAAATAATAATAATTTTTTTAACCATGGGGTAAAACATTGACCAAACTATTTTTAAACAATCGTAATAATCATTGTTTTAACTAGTCTTATGGGGTCAGCTTACACCAGATGTTCACATGAGGCACCATGCCTATTCTCAATTTGATCTTTTACAAACCCTCTTATATCAGGGATGATGGTTTCTGGCTGATATTTTAGGACATGACTATGTATGAAAGTCATCTGCTAAATAGAATGGGAGGTGAGAGGGTGTCTCAGGTATTGGAGGTCGTACCTTAAACTTCGGAGAGGTTCTTGTCAGAGCTTGAACATCTTTATCTACTTGCCCAAGGGATAACCAAAAAGATAATGTAAAATAAGTTCTCAGCTGATTCTGTATTTCAACGATTATTTATCTAAATATTCGTACCCTCTCTTTTCTTCTTGGCTAATTGATTTAGTTCCGTACTGCTTTGAGTGAATGTCTTGTATGATTTGTTATGGTAGCTGAGGAAGAAGCCATATATTTTTTCTTTTTGGTTAGGTTTATGTACTCAACCCGAAGCAGGACTTGCATGGTTTAGGCTATGATCCTTTCAAGCATGCTCCCGAATTTAGGGGTATGTAGCTTCCTGAAGTAAAACAACAGTTTACGAATTTAGGGTCGACAACTCCAATGCAGCTTGACCTTTTGTTTTATTTGCAGAGAAGAAAAGATCACGCTTAATTGATAATAAGGAGTTGGGGCATAGGAAACCTTCCTTTATGAAAGACAGTCTTTTTGCTTCGAGATGTAAGATATGCTACCTTGAATTATCCGCTTTACATGTCCTGTTTCTTTTTAAATGTTTCAGTTCTCCTCTCTTCCATTGCATTATGCTCTTGCTTGGAATGGTTACCTTTCCATATGCTTGAATGTATCAGCACGAAAGGTTGCTTCTGGTTTTGGCATTGGCGCACTTGAAGAACTTGATGCTGAAGATGAGGATGTATATGCATCTGGTAAGTATTACTCAATCCAACACTGGCTTATTGAGTCATCCTCATCCATCATGCTAGTAATATTTGCACTTCATATAGGTTACAGACTTCTATTTATAAAAAGAGGCTTACAAACTTCTATAAAAATGAGGGTTACCTGTAGAATGCTTTGTGGAAGAACTGTGTTGGTGGCTTGGTGCAGTAGATTGAAGAAATAATGGGTGGCTTTTGTCATATTTTTGCTTTACTGTATAATCCTTGATATCTTGTCACATCACGAATAAACTTTTGAAAATATTAGCTAGTTTACCTGGTATCCAATTGCCTATCTTTCTCTCTTCGTTTTCTTTAGGCTACATTTACGTAGGCTTTACTGGTGATTATGACTTGAACTGGGGTTCAAGGCCACCAATGTTTACTATCAAGATTCCCCCCCTCCCCCCAAAAAAAAAAACACACGCGCGCGCGCACACACCAAAATGAAAAAAGAAAAAAAGATACTCATAAAATTTGTCAGTTTTCTTTCACTGCTCTGCAAGGGCTTTGTAACGCTTGCGCACAAGGTCTTGTACTGAAACTGAACTTGCTACTCGATCCCATTATGCATGTCTATTTTGAGAATTTTAAACAGTTATGCTTTGTATGCATGAATATTTCCTCCCATGAGTGACGTTGTCTAGTCTCCTATGGCATCTAAACTGAACTAATTGATTGGTTATGTTTAGCTGTTGAGCCCATAGGCCGTACATTAGAACCTTTGATAACTGGACACATAATGCCTTCCACCCTATGCCCCCAAGTACATTACTTAATTGTTGTTTCTTTTTTCCCCCTCTTATGTTGGGGCGGGGTGGACAATAAGAGTTGAATAATTAAACCTCCATCCCGCCCTTTAAAATGCCATTTTGCAACAATGCCCTTGGCTAAATTTTGTGTGAATGATATAGTTACTTCGAATTGAAACTTTTGGTCAGGTTATGACTTTGAAGAAACTTATGTCCAAGAAATTGAAGAGCCTTCAAAACTCAGCCTGGACAATAAGAAAAAGTTTACTGAAAAAGAACAGGGTGTTCTTCCTGGTTTTAAAGTGGCAGCAAATTCTGACTACCAATTAGAAAGGTACTTATTTGTACCAGCTTCTTAATGTATTTAAGTTGAAACTCCTTTATTTGTTAGTTACTTTTCAAAATGTCACTATCTAGCTTCACATTCTATTGACATAATTATTTGTATATTGGAATGCAATAAATACTATGTGAACAATACTTGTTTATCCATGCACTGTGTTACAATTTTGGCAACTTATAAACAGGGAGGGAGGGGGAGAGAGAGCACGGAAGCCCGAATACGGCAATACAACAAAACTTTTAAAAGTAGGATACGGGTATGGCTAGGAAACGTTTGTAAAAAAATTAATTTTTAAATTATTAGCAGTGAGTTATACACAAGCTCAAGAATGTTGAGAAACTATACTATAATTTTATAATGCAAAATACTAGTCTTTAAGAATTAGGAATTAATTTAAGTCATTAGCTAGTTTATTTCTTAAATTTCAATAGGTCTTACAAATATTTTGTTTCAAATATCAAGTCCAATATGTTTATATCACAATAGCAGAACAATCTATATGAATTTGTCTATGTGCTTTTCCCTTTTAGACTAGTCAAAAATATTGTATGTAAGTTTACTTCCTTATTTATTTATTGATATTTAATTCTACTATTGTTACAATCACTTGTTAATCTTTACTTTCTATGCAGTTATATGGGACATGCACAACATAATTAGGATATGTCAATTTGACAAATTCTATTACTTTTAACTTACTATGTTGTTCTTGTCAAAGAACTAGGCAAAGACTCGAACCCCGCAACTTCAACCTATGCAAGAAATGCTACAATTCTAATTTTGTAAAACAAGTAATAAGTGACTTGGAGTATTCGATACTTTAGAAATAAATATCTGATACATCAAAATTAATGAAAAATTAATTAAGAAGTATTCGATTCTCTTGATAAGTATCTGATACATATCTCGGAGTATCCAAGGAGTATTGGTATCTAATATGAATACAATACGGATACGTCTCCCTTTTATAAGTATCCGTGCTTCGTAAAGAGAGAGAGAGAGAGAGAGAGAGAAGAGAATTGGAATTGAATAGAGAGTGTAGGAAAATAACGTATCTTTTTGAAAAGTCAGTGAGAAGGCAAATAACTTCTTTCTTGCTATAATGTTAACCATATGGTGGTCATGCTTATTGCTATTCTAGATTAAAGCAAATCAAATATACTTGAAAATCTACCATTGATGATAAGATATTAAGATATATTAAATTGAGAGTTCCTTAGTTAACAGTTGGAATCTGAATGATATCCAACAAAATATTGTTCAACTACTCTTTTTTTTTTTTTTTTTTTTCATTGATTGGAAATGTTGGTTACTTCATGAGATCATATACTTCTGTTAACACTATGAAAAAGAGCAAGAGAACTAACTTAGATTTTCGTTGTTAGCCATGAAGGTATTATTGTTTGACACTTAAGTTTTATGAAACTGAACATTGCTGTAGTGTACAAGACGTTTCAGCTAATCTTTTTATTTATTTATTCCTTTTATCTTTGTTTTTTTTTTCTTTCAATCTGATTCATGTGTCTTTAGAATATAAACATGTTTAGTATACAAAATTAGATATGATTGAAGTATGGCAAAATGAGTCTCCAAATCAACACCTGGTTTAAAATTTATATGACTACTTAGTTTATATATTGTTCATTTTATTCTGATATAATCTATTATGCAAACTGCTTTTCAGATTTGATCCTCCTGTTATTCCAAAGGATTTTGTACCTCTTCATGAATTTCCTACTCCTCTTGACATCAACAACAAATTTGCTGATACCCCACCTCCAGAAATTCCTCCTCCGCAGGATAATAATTTGAAACTCTTGATTGAAGGGGTTGCAACTTTAGTAGCCCGTTGTGGTAAATTATTTGAGGATCTATCACGAGAGAAGAATCAATCGAATCCATTATTTTCTTTCCTTAATGGGGGAAATGGCCAAGATTATTATTCATGGAAGCTTTGGGAGGAGCGGCAGAAGCGCAATGATAAAGATAAACAGCATTTGGATGGGAAAATGTTTCCAAGTGTGCAGAAGATTACGGCAGAGAGCCGTGGCAAAATCTTAGGAGAAAAGCCTCTGGATAGAAGCTCCAAAGATGCAACTGTGGCTTTTACCTCTGCAGATATTCAGCTCCAATTCAATCTTTCAGATACATTCACCAAACCTGCATCATTTGTAAGTGATTTAAATTTTGATGTCTATTTTTAGCTTGAAAATCGTATGGCTCCTACAGTCGGTGATATGGGAATTCCACTTGTAGTTCGAAAAATTAGCTCCAACCAGGAGACTACTTTGTTTTCAACCTCAATTTGGTGTGTTTATTGAAAATTGTAGTTGGAATTATGTATTTACTTGTTATTTGTTTCTTCTTTTGAATTTGAGCTCCCGGATGTTGCAAAACCTTTTCGAGATGATCCTGTAAAGCAAGAAAGGTTTGAGATGTTTCTAAAGGAGAAGTACCACGGAGGGCTTCGCTCTAAAGATTCTGGTGGTTCGAGTAGCATGTCAGAATCTTCTCGAGCTCGTGAGAGGTTGGAGTTTGAGGCTGCAGCGGAGGCAATAGAGAAGGAAAAACGGGGAAACGAAAGTAGGCTTTCTAATCAACAGTTTACAGAGATATGTGCACCTACAAGTTTGCAGTTTACCTACGGCAGTCAAGAGGTATGTCTAAGAAGTTATAATTATCAATACTAAGTTCATGGCTTTGATTTGGAGTAGTTGACATAAAATGTGAAAACAGAAAGTTAGTCAAGCTGAAGAGGAGATAATGAGGAAAATGTATCCAAAGCGTGAAGAGTTTCAGTGGCGGCCTTCACCTATTCTGTGCAAGCGTTATGATATATTGGATCCTTATATGGGGAAGGTACTATTACATCCATCCTTTAATTTTCTCGTGTTTTGTCTTTTAATGTTGTCAGATTGCATTTCCAAAATTTTGGCCTTTTATGTCATTATAGTCGAGTTTTAAAATTTTGAATTCTATACGTGCTAGTTTAGATTCTAGAAGCAATAGGAAGACAGAGACGAATAAAAATTTGCATGGTGATGGTGAAGAATGCTAGCCATGAGCCTGCCACTAGGCTCAATAATAGCCCACTATAATCACTTCTTTTTCAGGCTTAAGAGGTCGTCAGCTTTGTTAGCCCAATTAAAGCTTCTCTTGGGTCCTGTTCTTGTCTGCCCAAGCTTCTTTCCTCATACCAGCCATGAAACTGAAACATTTTGGGAAAACATTTATTAGGCTTTTGTTTTCCCACATGCATTTCATTCTGGTTCCCAATGAAACTGAAACGTTTTAGCTGTTTCAATGGAAATGAAACAAAATTTTAATTCTTGGATATTGTCAGAAGTGCATGACAGGTGGTATGCAAGAATATGTACAAAAAGCAAACCATCCTTGCTTCTTTTTTTTTTTCTTCTTCACATCTTATTGTTCATCCATTTATGAGGGGCACCTCCAATTAGTTACGTAAAAAGAAAAATAGAAAAGGAAAATGAAGGCGGCTTCTGATTTCTTTCTCTATTGTAGATCCTTACATGGTGGGGTAGTGTACTGTTTTGCTTATTTACTTCCACTTTGTTTGTAGATCTGCAAGAGACAGATCCTTGTGTGTTTATTTATATCTTTAATGTGGAACTATTTTGCCTCTCTCTCTCTCTCTCTCTTGTCTGTTTATCTCTCTCTCTCTCTCTCTCATAAATATATATATATATATATATATATTTGGCAGTTTTTTCATTATACTGGTATCATTCCTATCTGAACTGTAATAATGAAAATTCTTCCCGTGCTTCTGGGATGTTCCTGTTGATAGTTACATCAAACTGCATGCATGTTGCCATTTGCAGCCACCACCACCTCCACGGGTGAGGAGCAAAGTGAACTCTCTTATATTTATGCCAGATTCAGTTAAACCTCCAAAGCTCGGGGAAACCACTACAGCATTTAGGGATTCATTGCCTGTACCCCAATCTGGTGCGGAAGAGATTAGCAAGGAAGAAGCTGACACAGAACTTGAAGTTGACGTGGAAGTGGAAAATGTTGAGAGGCCTGTTGACCTCTACAAGGTATTGGGTCTTTTCTCAGATCATAGTTTATGCTAAGGTTTTTTATGTAGAAAAATGTTGACATGGATAACACGTTTTGTTGACCATACAAACCATTTATGCAATAAATGTTTTTAATTTTTCTTTTGTAGAAGGCATCAAATATGTAAGGGGTGTGCTTGTTGCTTCTTATATTTTCTTGTATTTAGACAATGAATATAGTTGCATTTCAGGGTCTAGTATATGATTATTCTAATTATTCTCTGAAAAAATAACTGAAACTGGTGTGTTTCAAAGCTATCTGGTTTTAGTTTTTAAGTCGTAAACATAAATTATTTATAAATTACAAACCTTGCACTCACGATTGTGTCTGATTTGAATTAGACGTTAATTTATCTGTCTTTCTTCTCGCAGGCTATATTCTCTGATGATTCAGATGATGAAGAGAAAAGTTCTGGTCTCAACCAAGTGGAGGATCCCCAAAAGACGGTTGAAGCTGCTAATACGACATTAAATCGTTTAATAGCTGGTGACTTTTTGGAATCTTTGGGTAAAGAACTAGGTCTGGATGTTCCCTCTGATATGCCATATCCGGAAAACAAAGCTAGGGCACCATCTAGTCAGAAGGAAACCGTCAAGGCCAACAAGGGAAATGTTAACACGCTCCTGGTTGAAAGTAAGCCTTCATCGACCCTTAACGCTGTTAATAGGACTTTCTTGAATCAGGATGTGCCAGAAAGCAAACCGTATCGGCGGGGTAATGTTGTAGAGGGTGGATCTCATAATGGTGAGTTAACCATTAGCAACGTAATAAGGACTGTTGCTCCTGGAAATCAATCTGGTAAAGTTGAACTTGGCAAAGTGGTTGAAGAAGACAGGAATGTGAAAACTCCCTCGGGCGGGCACAGAAATCGGAGCAGCGGTTCATCAGAAGATGAAAGGAGTAGAAAGCACTCCAGGCGTCATCGGCGTAGAAGTAGCAACTCTGATAGCGATGCGATCGACTTGTCTGGTGATTATCAGGATCGTCACCATTCAAGGTCTAAAGGGAGAAAGAAGGAATCCTCTAGGGAAAAGAGTAGTAGTAACAGAAAACACTCAAAGCACCATAAGCGCGGAAGAGAGGAGTCTCCCAGTAGACCTTCTCGTCGCGGTACTGAGAGAGAACATGAAGCCAAGAGGGAGAGAAGAAGATAGGAAGATAAAGGCATAAATTTGACATGGTTGTGAGAAAGAATTTGAATTGAAAAAGCTCATTGAAGATTCACCATTTGATTCAAAGGGTTTAGCTCACTTTGCTGGTGCAAGTTGGTACAGCTTTTTGACTGGTGGTTTGGAGGGCCGGGCCGGGCTCATGCAGGAGATCAGATAATTGTATTTCTTATGTAATCTCTCTTACACTAGTGTTTTGGGAGCTTTGCACAGAAAATGCCTATATGATCTGTCTACAAAATCCTCATCAGTGTTCTTGCAGTCAACAGGTACTACTACTGGCTAAAGAAGTTAGAATATACTGTAAAAATTGAGCAATGAATATTGTTAGTAAATGTGTTCTCTTGGTTTTTCCCCAAATGGATTGAAGGGTAATTTTACTAAATACAGAGGGGGTTTTTTTTTTTTTTTGGGATGAATATTTTGTAAAATGTTTCTTGCTGGTGTAATTGGTCTGGGAATGATGCTCCCTGAAAAGTATTCTAAATTTTACACAAATTTAAAGAAACGGTTGAAAACATATTTTTTTCATCAAATTAAAATGCGCTGAGGAAATTTGTGTTAATTATCCCCAACAACATAAATTGTGTACATATTTTACGTAGTGAATATACTATCATAGTGAGTCCAATCGAAGGTCATATATGCTCAAATAGTGACCATAGTATTTATAGGGTAAATTATAAATACACTTGTGAGACTTGTTTAAAATATAATTTATCTTATGTAGTTATAGAAATTACATCTTATCGCTTGAAGTTTTTAATTTCATAATAAATAATTATTTTTATTAATAAATTATCAAGTTAATTAATAGTTTTTAATGATGTCAGAAATTTATTTCAATTAATAATTTAAGTAATTTTATTATATAGAGTAGCAGTTAGAAATTTTATTTTTTTAATCTGTTAAATAATCTTTTTTTTAAAAAGAGATTTGTAATTTTTTAAATTACAAAAAATAATTTGTAATTTAAACAAATGTTATTTATAATTTACCCTATTTGAAAACAATAGTGTTTCTCTCATTTCAAAAGCGTCTCACCCTTGGACAACAAAGACCAAGTTGAACTCTTTAATCTTTATTTTATTTTTAATCCAAAAACTCTCATCTTTATGTTGATTGTTATTTGCACTTGAAACTAGACAATGAAGCGCACACAATAATGCCAACATATCCCATCTTTACACTCCACACCTTTCAACCCTAACTCTATCCCACCCCAATCATCACCTCCAATTGCCAGTATTGCCACCTCTGACCCACCTCTCCCAGCCCCTTTTCTCTCCATTGTGACCCCTACTTAGTCCAATTCCCATATTGCAATCTCCCTCTTTAACCCCCCACCATTGTCGTAGATTTATGTTTTAAGATGTAGGGTTTAAGGAGGAAGGGGGGGAGGAGGAGAAAGAAAGGGTTGAGGAGTGACAGTGAGTGGTGGTAGATTGGTGGAAAGGGTGGAAAAATTGTGAGTGTAAAAGAGAAATAGGGTTTTTAAATGATTTTAATTTGAGTATTTTTTTCCATAATTTTAAGTAGGGATAAAATTGTAATTAAAAAAAAAGTATAAAGAGACGTTTTTATGGTACAGTGGTGCAGGAAAAAAAAAAAAAAAACTAACGAATTCTATTTTACTCTTAAGATTACTATCAAATCTTATCAAGTTTCAATATGGACAACTAAGTCCTATTTTTCATGACATATTCTCAAAAAATTTATTACTCCATAATGGTGGATGTTATCTTAATTTTACCCTTCATTTAATATGAACAACAATTTCATAAATATTTTTAATAAAAATAATATTTTTAATTGTACAAATTAATAAAATAATATTTTTAATTGTACAAATTATGATATTATATTAAAAAAAAATCATAAATCACAATGAAAAATTATCCTTAAGTTTTATTTTGTTTTGAAAATTATTATTGAGTTATCAAATTTCAATATTAACAAATAAATCTTTTTATTTTATTTTATAAATTATTATAAAAAAAATCCAATTGTTTATAATAGTATATTTAATTTTCATTTTATCTTTTTCATTAAAATATGAACAAAAAAATTCATAAATAATTTTAATTTATTAGAAATTTAATAATTAAATGATTTTTCACTGTTCAAATCAATTGATTTTTCATAAACAAAATTATAAGTATAAGATTAATAATTTTTACAATTAAAAATTTAAATTTTAATTAAGTTAAAATATTTATAAAATTGTTGTTCATATCATGTAGGAAGGGTAAAAATTGGGATAAGACATACTATTATGAAGCAATGAATGCTTTGAGAACCTTTATCATAAATAGGACTTAGTTGTCCATATTAAAACTTGATAGGATTTATTAATAAATCGTAAGAGCAAAATAAGGCTCGTTGGTTATTTTCTAAAAAAAAACTACAAAAACATGAGAGTTGTAACTCATTTTGTGGTGGGGTGCAAGTCAACAGTTGTGGTTGCACCCCTTTATTTATCAAAAAAAAAAAAAAAAAAAAAACTAAAAAAAAAAAAATTGTGGTTGCACCCCTCCATATTTGTGGTACGTCTTTTTTCCTACCTCTAATGAACAATGATTTTTCCTAAGGTTGCTCCGTTTGTTTAGAAGGAAATGGAAGATAGAAAATGAAAATGATTGAAACCGAAGTAAAAGAAAGGAAAAAGAAATGAAAATTTATTTTCTTACATGCATTAGAATAGATGAAATATTTTGTAAGAAAATGATGGGAACAAAATATAATCATTGCATAATAGGGAGTTGTGGAGAGTGATATGAGCAAAAACAAAAATAAAATAAAACTAACCAAGATTGGTGAGAAAAAATAAATTCTCGGTATATTTTCAAGAAATTATTAGCCTAACTAACAAACTAATTTGATTGTGCAATAAATTTAATTTCTATTACTTTCTAAAACTCTTTATCTAAACCAATACAAAAAAAAATATTATTTTTTATTTTCCTTTTACTTGCCTATATTATCTAAATATGGATTATCTTGCATGGAATTTGAATCATGAGCCACATGAAAAGTGACTAGCGAAGCTTCTTTACGCTTAAGAATCAAATAATTAAATTGCAAAGCTTTGGTATTAGATGCTTTGCTTTGTATTGATTTGATTAGTTGTCTCTAAGGGCATCTTTAATGGTGTATCAATTTTTTCATTAATTTGAGTAAAAATTTCTTTTGATATCAAGTGCTTCAATGGAGAGGGATTTGGAGTTTCATCTAACCACCGGTTGACTAGGCGGACATCCGGCCAGTGTAATTTTTTTATAAATTTTTGCCTTGAGGTGATCATCTGAACGACATCCGGTGGTGAAAGTTCAATGACAATAAACATTGATTTGATTAAAAGTACATTGGTCCTCAGTCTGATGAAAGAAAAGTAAAATTCTAAATTTGATACGTATTTGATGAAATTGTTAAAACAGGTTTTGAAGCTATTTTTCATCAAATTTAAATTTGATGACAGATTTAAATAACCATTGGAGATAGTTTAATATAGTGACACCATGCGATGCTATTACTAATTATTCACATACAAATTTTTTATATAAATTTTTCTTACAGAATGAGGTAATTGTTTATTACTATTTTATTATTTCAAATAAAAACATTTATCATTACTACTCGTAATAGTCTTTCTAAAAAGTGAGAATAAATGTGCATCCATTTGTGTTATAACATCATGTGTTATGTTATGATTCAATATGTTCGAGTTGTGTAGAAATCACCTTCAACATCAGCTTGCAAGGAGAAGGTGTCCAATAAGAAATTATCCTGTAAGTCTAGCTTTTTGTATTAGGTGATCTGTCACTTTAAATGTATTGGACTAAATAACTAGTTTTTATTACTTTTTTTTTCCCTAATATTTTATACAAACTGATTATATGTTTTCTTATTAAGATGGATGCACAATCGCCTCCTAAGCCTCCGTTTGGGAAGTGGGTTGGCTTTTTGGCTTTTTAATTTTTTGGCTATTTTAGCCTGGGCTATTTTAGCCTGGTTTGGGAAGGGCTTTTTGGCTTTTTTAGTTTTTTTTGTGAGAGGGGATTGTAATGATTATGGGTTGGATTTGATGTTTTGTTTTTTGTGGCTAAAATAGCCTATTTTGTTTTTTGTGGCTATTTTAGCCAAAAAAGCCTGGCTTTTTGCTTGCCAAACGGAGGCTTAGTCGAATTTATCAACTAATATATTAGAAGTGAACACAGTTAGGTTTAGGATTAAATCAGGACTAAATCATTATATACGGTTTCATGAATTTTGAAATTAAATTAGACCGAACAACTAAAACATTGTTTGGTTCAGTTTAAGACCATAATTTGTAGAAACTTTGTCATCATTTACAATATGATCACAAAATATTATTTACAATCTAAAAATTGTTTAAATGAATAATTAGAATTAGTTCTAATACTATACAAGAACACATTTGCATAGCTAGATGCATGAAATTTATGTATATAATGTTGGAAAAATGGTGTAATATAGGCTTATTTTGGGCAATCTTTGAGCCCAAAATTGAGTCGGCCCCAAACGTCTTTTGGGTTGGGTCCGAAGAGGTGATATGTTCCTTATTGCGTGGCAAGTCACACGGTGAAGACGGTACGTCAAAACCATTTATGAGTGAATGGAAAGTTGACGTCGTTTCCGGGTTTGTGAAATTAAACATTTAAAGATATAAATGTGGGTTTCCTTTTAATGGGTTATCCCACATTGAAACTTTAAGAGAGCTTGTATATGTATATAAGCTCTAGATTACAATACTTGGGTTGGGCCTCAAGGGGCACTGCAAATTTGTAGAAGGGAAGAGTTATGGACAAAGTGAACCTTAATCCAAACCACCACAAGGGCTGAGCTGTGCCGGGTGTGGATTGTGGGTCTATTCTAATATTAATTTTTTGGATAAAATTTATTTGAATTTTTTCCAGAAATTCTTAATGAAATTAAATTCCAATTTTGTGTCAAAATTGAAATTAATTTTCTATCCATAATTCTTAATGAAATTAAATTCCAATTTTGTGTCAAAATTGAAATTAATTTTCTATCCATATATTACCAACTTCAGTCCAAATTCCACACGGTTTCAAGCTAGTTTTACAGTTATTTAACTACCAGAAACTGCCCAGTTGAACCCGATAGATTCTTTAAGAGTTCGAACAGGTCAAACAGTCCAAACAAATCTGTTGCACCCGAACAGATTCAAACTGGTTTGAACAGATCTAACTGTTGTGCAATTATATGTTGTAACTGCCAAATCTGTTTGATTCAAAATCCCACCTGTTTACTTCAAATTAGCACCTATTCGGGTCAGATTTTTTGCCTATAAATACAACCATGTTCCAGTAGTCTTCACATCCGAAAATTAGTCAGAAAAATATTGTTCTTGCTGTCTAGATTTTA